GCACGGGCGCGCCCGACTTCGTGGGCGCAGCGCGTGACGGTGGCGGGCAGGTTTGGGTGCCTGCCAGGCCCCGGCAGGTCCCCGCTGCCTGCCTGCCTCCCCCGCTCCCCTCTGCTAATCACCTCGTCATCGGGTGAGCTGCATCCCAGCTGGGATGGGGGGGTTGCCATGGCGACGGAGGATGCTGGTTGCCTAGCAACAACCATCCCCTCGCCCACCCGCCCAGGACCAATTCGGCATGCGTCGTCTCCCCCCCCCACATAGCGGGCTGCCCACCCCTGGGGGGGTGCGGGCTGGCGGGGGTCCCTGCGGAGCCCTGGGGGGGCTGGCCGGGGCGTGGCGGGGGCGGGAGGGGGGTTCCCCCCCGAGAGGGGGTTTCCCATCCGCCGGGAATGGTTTCCAAGGAACAGTCTCCATGACGGCCCCATCACACCCCGGCGGCACATTGATTTGCTGCTGCTGGTGCTCCGGCGTCCTCCCCCGGCCTGGTGCCTGCCGGGCCGGCGGCTCACGCAGCCAGGCACGTGAGCGGCCCCGAGTTCCCTGCCAGGGTGCTGGGCTGTCCCCAAAGCTGATCGGTAACTGGTGGGGTCAGGGGGTGACAGGGATGGGCAGGCAAGGAGCTGCGAAGCCACAGTGGCTTGCAGCACGGCATGGCAGCCTGCGGTCTGTGGGTGGCATCGCCCAGCTGGTCCCTGTGCCCAAATGACCCCTCTGTCCCCAACCTTGGGACCCTGCCCCATGGCTGCCAGCTGGCAGGGAGGGGAATAGGCCCTGTCTGCAGTCCTGCCTGCCCTGCCTGGCAGCCTGACCCCTCGCAGTGGTGATGGGCAAGGGGTTGGGGTGGCTGTGTGGCAGCTCGGGGACACCCGGCTGGTCCCCCGGGACCTGCTCTCACCTCAGTGTTAGCAGGGTGGGGAGGTGGGGGGGGCCACCCCACGCTCCCCCCGGCCGTGGCTCACCCACGCTGTCTCCCCAGGGCCCTCTACACGTACGAGGATGGCTCCGATGACCTGAAGCTGGCAGCGTCAGGAGGTAAGGTCCTCTGTCCCCGAAGCCGGCTCGGCTCTGCTGGCGTTTTCCCCGGCACCCATCCCAGTGCCAGGTGGACATGGGCTGATGGTGCTGTGCCAGGCGGAGGTTTGCTGGAGCTGTCCGGCCACTTTGAGATCCAGAAGGTGATGTACGGCTTCTGCAGCGTCAAGGACCCCCAGGCTGTGCTCCCCAAATATGTCCTCGTCAACTGGGTGAGTGGGGGGGCCATGCTGCGGGGGGCCGTGGTGGCTGGGAGGGTGCGGGTGCCCCATGGTCCCGCTGCCCCGTGGTGGTCAGCAGGGTGGGGGGGTCACCCTGCGGCCACTCCGTGGCTCAGCCCCTCCCCGGCTGCCGCAGGTGGGCGAGGACGTGCCGGACGCCCGCAAGTGTGCCTGTGCCAGCCACGTGGCCAAGATCGCCGAGTTCTTCCAGGTGGGTGACGCTGGGGAGGGGGACAATGCTGCCGGGGCACCGACCCCGGTCCCTGACGGCCGCTCACCGCCCCCCCTCAGGGCGTGGACGTCATTGTCAACGCCAGCAGCGTGGAGGACATCGACCCGGGGGCCATTGGGCAGCGGCTCTCCAACGGGCTGGCCCGCGTCTCCAGCCCGGTGCTGCACCGCCTGCGGCTGCGGGGGGGCGGGGAAGGCCGGCCCCGGGGGAGGTCCCCACG